TGAGGCACAGCTGAGCTTTACAGCTGTGTGGCAGCTCTGGGTCACAGCTCTCATAATTTGAAGACTCAAGAATCCGATGGTCAGTAGAAGAGGTGGAGAAAAAAACCTTTATTATGCTGGCAAGCCCTGGCCAGCTCACAGGAGTCTGAGCGCTCTACCAGAAATGAGAGCCTCCTTATATAGGGATCTAGGGGTAGGAGAGCATGCTCAATGAAGTGGGGTGTGGGGTGTGGGGGTGGAGTTACGGAACATTCCGGGTGGTGGGGGGTGGCGCTTAACAGAAACCTCTTGTGGGGAACCAGAGCTTAACAGAACATTCCTGAAAGGTCACACAGTTCAAAGAGTCACAAACCATTTTGATACATTGGTCAGGAGCCCACCAGCACAAACTTGCATTTCCAAAAAAAAACATTCTGTGGAAAAGAAAATGGAGGCAAGTGTGTATAGCACTTCTCTGTCATCTCCAGCAGCCACTGAGGAGCCTCTAACCTCTGTGGAGCTGGGAGTGCTGTGCCTCACCACAGTGTCCTGAGGATTTGCCTCTACTCCCCAGCCAAGAAAGCATACTTCCAAGGCAGCATGGTCAGGGTCTGAGAAGGGCAGGGTATGGCGGCCTGGCTCCTCTGCCCACAAGGGGTTCTCTGAGGGGCACTCTTTCTCTAGGTCTTCCTGTGTGGTTGACCGAGACGCTGGTGTGTGCCACTGCAGTCTGAGGCTTACCTGCTGGAACCTGCACCTTCCTGTCACTGTTTACCTTTCACCTTTCAACCTGTGGCCTCCACACCCCTCTCCCAGTGCTTCTGATTTCTGATGGCTTTTGGAGGACCTGCTCCCACCCCATCCTGGGCCCTTGAAACTTTCCACGGGATGCTGGGGGTAGGCATGAGGGGACCTGTTTATTGGGCACAGAGGCTGAAAGGGGCGACACTGGGGGTTTGAGTGGATGGTGTTGAGTCTCAAAGGACATTAAGGAAGCACCAGTGCTTGTCACGTGCTGGGCACTATTTTAAACAATGTTTTCTATTTATCATTTCAATTAGTCCTCACAAGCACAGTGAGGGAGGAACTGTTACAATATTTTAGGAATGAGGACACCAGGACCCACAGAGACCCAATGACTTCAGTGTCCAGTGACAGAGCTGTTGAATGCAGCACCGGGATTCCAACCCAGGCAGTCTGGCTCCAGAATGTTCACTCTCAGCCACAATCCATGGCAGAGGCTGGCACATGGCTGTAGAGGGGAGGAGGACTGCACACAGGAGGGCCTTTGAGGACTCCGCTGTCTGTCAGGGCTGCCATCTGTTCCGCAGGCCTCAGCCAGATCCGTGTCCCAAAGAATGAATGGGAGGGACTCAAGGGGCAGACAGGCTAGTGCAATGCCTTGCAGAGGTCAGGCCCTGCTCCGTGGCACTCGATGTCACAGTGCTGATTGTACTCACCTCCTCTTCAGAACACAGTCAGCCCAGAACCGGAGGCTGATGCTCAGTGGCTGTGGGGCCCCTGCCCATCTGAGAGAGAAATTTCCTCCCTGTCACACAGTCTGGGGGCTTCTCGGAGGCACTGAGAGGTGACCTGCAGCAGGCCCTCTCCTTCCTTTTAATCTCGCTGGCGCCAGACAAACCTTGGCTTAGATCCCAGCTCTGCCCCTTACGGTGATGTGTCCTTGGTCAAGTTCATGGTATCAGTTGATTATCAATTTGTGATCAGCCACCTCCAAGCCTATAGCCTTAAATGACAACCATGAGTGGTTTCTTGAGTTTATGGGCTGGTTGGGCAGTGAGTTTGGATGAGTGTGATGGCTTTAATGGTCACATCTGAGCCTTGTTCCCCCTGGGGACCAAGGCTTGAAACTCTTCACAGCATTCTGTCACTTTCTCTGGCCAACATCATCGGCCTATGTACCTGGTCATCTGGGTGGAGAGCTCACTGCCTGTTGTGGAGATGTTAAGGCAGCAGGGAAATAGAAAGTTTTAAAATTTATTACACACCGAGTAAAACTCAGGCTCCATGATGTTGCTGTGAAAGCTAAATTTGTAAACTTTAAGAGGCAGAGGGTTAAATTTGCCTCTGGAGAAAACCATCCCTTCAATCTGGAGAGCTAAGCACGGGGGCAGTTAGTTCCCATAAATGTAAGATAAGGTCCCCTCTCAGCTGAGAAAGTTTCCACGGCAATCCAGTACAGAGAAGCCAAATGCTGTGCTTTGTGTCACTCATGCCTTCATTTGCCTACTCAGTCATTCACTTATCCAAGGAGCCCATCCAAAAATACTTCTCAAGAACCTATGGGGTGTGACATTGCATAAGAGAAATGGCACAATCAACAGGCTGGGTGTAACAGTAAATGCTGTGTTTCTGCTTGCTGGAAGAGCCCCTGAGACGGACAGGCAGGAGTACTTCCTTGTAAGCTTGGCCCACTGCCTAAGCTTTAGGCAGGGGCACAATTATCTTTAAGGCTGACTGGAGAGTGAACAGAAGGCCTGCTTGGTAGAGGGTGGAGGAGGAAAACTGGTTAGGAGATGTTCCAAGCATCCAGCCCATTGGAGCTGACCTGGGCTGTCATGGTAGTGGAGGTGGAGAGAGTTGGATGGACTGGAGAGATATCGGACAGGCAGAATTGGTGGGACTGGGCACCTGCTGGGATGAAAGCTAGGGGAGGGGAGGTGCGATATCTGACACTCACTCCTAATTTGAGCACTGGATGGAGGGAGCCATTTGCAGAGATGGGGAACAAGAGGGGAGGACAATAGGGGATGCTTGGAGGACCCCCAGTGGGGGCAGTTGGCAGTGAGCTGGATACATATGAGAGGGCTCAGGAGAGAGGTCTGCACTCCAAGGATAGGAAGGAGGGTCAGCAGCTCAGGGAAAGAGTCCAAAGCCACAAAAGAAGGTGCGAGGTGTGGCTGAGGCATGGCTGGGCCACACACAGGTCTGGGAGTTTGGTGGGCATGGCAGGGTAGACAATTCCTTTTCTGCTGGGATTTTGACTAGTCTGTGCCTGTAGACTGCTATTTGTTCCTCTGCAATGAAGGGTGGTGCGTGTGTGTGTGTGCGTGGGTGCACTTTGGAGAAGAGTAGCTAACAAATGTGTTGTGGAAGTTGCAATCATGACCTCTACTTCTTAACATGTCATCCCCCATTATAAATAGTGCAGCAGTTTCTATGCTCTTGGGATTAAAACAAAACAAAAGAATCCCTAAGTGTTGTGGAGGACCTTCAATGTATGGCCTCAATTTACTCAGGAAATCTGCATGGTTTCCTGCAGTTCTCGCCTCGAATTTTGGCTTCTGCCACTGCAGCTTCTGTGGAGTCCCTTATTACCTATCCTCTTCCTCTTGCCACAGGACCTTTACTCATGCCAATTTCTCTGCCTAGGATGTTTGCCTCTTCTCTTCATCTACTTAACACATCTCTTCCTCCCTGATTCTTGTGGCCAAATCCCTTACATGTCCCCAAGGTACCATTTGAATCTCCTTTCTAGCATTCCTCATGTTTATTAGTAATTATTTGGTTAATTTGGTTTCTTCACTCTCCTAAAAACTCCATGTGACGAGATAATGTCTCAGTTAACTCCCTTAGCACAATGCCCTGATATGAAGTTAAGATTCCATAAGGCCAGTCATGGGGGGTACATCTCTGTAATCCCAGAACTCTAGGAGGCTGAGGCAGGAGAATCTCAAGTTCAAGCCAATTCTGGGCAACTTAGCAAGACCTTGTCTCAAAATAAAAAACAAAAAGGATGGGGATAAATGCAGTGTGAAGGCCCTGGCTTCAATGCCCAGTACCACACAAACATGCACATTTAAAGAGTAACAAAGGAGAAACTATAAAAGCACTGAGCCCAGGCTTGGCAGAGCTCAGGGTAGGTCATGGCCCTCTCATTCAACAGCAAGATGTCATTGGGAATGAGCTCTAGAGGGTGAAGTAGTTTGGGGTTCACGGGGGCTGGTGTCCTTGTCCAGGCCTAGGGACAAATCAGCATCCCTAGAGAGGAGGGAAGGGGTTTGTTTCCCTGGCAGGAACCAGTACCGGCACCACCCATCATTGAAGGAAGAGATGAGGAAGGTGGATCTGGGCCTGAAACTATGGGGAAGACCCTTTCCTCTCTGGCTGCCTCCTTATTTCCTTTCCCTCTGTCAGCTCAACAGCTTCTTCCTGTTTGCTTAGCTCAGGCTTTCCTTCCTCAAAGAGCCAGGGTCAATTAAGCCATGCCTGGCATTTGATAAGATAAATGAAAAACCTTAGAAAAATCTTTTCTGTTTGCATCTCTATTTTCCTGACTCTATCTTCCCATCCAGCTCTTCAAGTTTGTTTCAGGTGGTGCCTGCCCTTCCCTTTTCTTGGGCAAAAGCTTCTTGGAACAGACAATAGGTTTAAGGGACAGTGGGTGGGGATAAGATGCATCAGTTACATTTGTAAATATGCAGTGAATCCAGGAATCCTCTATATGTCTTAAAATGTCTTCCTTCCTCTCTGACCTATCAGGTCCCATCCACATGCCAGAAAAAGAACATGACTGTACAGGCTTCAGTCAGACTAAGGTGGTTGGCTTCCCAGTCTCCTCCAATCCCAGTCTCTTGAGGGCCAAAGCCCTCCTGCTTCCTGCAAACTGGCACTGTTGCTGGGGGCCTGTAGCTTCACCCTCTGAAAATGCATTTGGACTATGGGTGGCTGGATGTCTAGAGCCCTGAGGTGACCCACTGGGGCACACTCTCTTACCTTGCACCTGGAGTGTGGCACAGTGGCCAGAAATATTGGTCACTCCATCCCTCAGTCCTTCCACCTGCTCCTTCCTGGGTCCTAACCTTGGCTCTGCCATTTGCAGTCGACCTAGGGAAATTTTCCTCAGTCTGAGGCTGAACTTCCTCACAATCTAAAGGGAATGATGACACCAGGGTGTCTCCTGCAACAAACTCTTCCAGATTGCTCATTGGGGGAGGGGGGAGGGAGAGAGAAAGAGAGACATGGACACAGTAGAGAGAACCCATACCACTCAGACAGACTGCATGTCTCACCTACTTGGTTTAATTCCATCATTTATTCAATAAACATGCCTGAGACACTCCTAGGGTGGATAAAGCAGACAAAAATCCTAGCAATTATGGGGCTCACATCCTACTCCTGAGAACTAATCTCCAGGCTGAAAGGTACAATTCCATTTATCCTGTGACCTGGTGCCACCTGGAAGCCAGCCTCTTCATTTGCTGCCCAGCCCGGGGAGCTGGCTCTGGGAGATGCCGAACGACTGAAGGCAAGGTCAAGGCTAACTCTGACCACAGGTGACCTTCACTTTTCCCCATCATTTCCTCTGCCCCCACCCCACTGTCCCCTGGCCTATGGGCTGAGGTTGGCCAGACAGAGTGCATGGGTGAGGGAGAATTCAGTGAACAAGTACACCACTGAGTGCGGACATGGATAAAGGGTGGGAGTCACCAGCTCAGTGACATTCAGCCACAGCCCAGGCTGTTGCCAGGCTGCACTTTGATTTTCATTAATGACCCTCTCCAGAGCCTGCTCAGCCAGTTCCAGGGATCCCTCACACAGTCCTTTTCTTCCCACGTGTGTGTGAGCCGAAGGCCATCATGGGGACAGAGCAGTGACTTCAGGACTTCAAGATTAGCTGCACTCCACGCCTGCATCCTCGCTGTGGCCACAGTTGTGAGAGCCCCAGGAACTCTTGTTGCAGCTCCACAGGGAAGACTCCGATCCCTGACAGGCGACATCGTCCAGCCAGATCTTCCCAGTGCCTTGAGATGGGGGAAGCAAGAGAGAGGAGACGTAGGGTTACGGTCAAAGCCAAGCAGCCATGCAGGTCCTGAAAGCTCCCACCTGGGGCAGACTGGCAAAGCTGAGGGCTCCTCTGGTGCCTCTAAAAGCTATTTTAATGCTGAGTGTACACACTGCTGAACTCTCTGCCCGGGGTGCTCCAGCCTCCTGTCTCTTCCCTGCTAATTCACTGCTGTACCCTTTTCTCAAGTGCCTTGAAAGGGATTTGCGTCTTTGTCAAGCCCCCTTCCTTCTGATATAATTGAAATAATATTATTTTGTTAGTCATTTACATCACAATGTGACTTTATATATGCTTCAATATATAAAGAAGATGTGTATTTAAAGTTTCATAGTCCAACTGGATCCAAATTAAAAAGCAAGTCTGCACTTTGAGGTCGGGTAAGAGCAGAGGGCATTTGGGGGCCTAGTGTCCCTTGGGAGGCCAACTCTTATGGTCAAGGGAAGGGCTCAGGTGAGGAATTAAGTTCTTTGCTGAAGGTTTGACCTTTGGTTGGGGAAAAAAAGATATAAACTTAGCTGATCACTAGCACCCCAGGTTGTCTTGCTCAGATTAGTCTTAGTAAGTTCCCACTCCAATTTGTTTTAGGTTTTCTTCCATCCCACCCCCTTTTGGTTGTACTGAGGATGGAACACAGGGCCTCAAGTTTGCTAGGCAAGTTTCTGACACTGAGCCACAACCCCAGCTGTCCCATGTATTCTTTAGTGGATCACAGCCAAGACTGCAGGTCAGTCCAGACTTCTGGCTGCCAGACAGCTACAAATTACCTGCCATACATCCCTGCCTTCTGTAGAGAGAATACCCAGGTGAAAGGCCAGGTGGAATTCTGACTCCATGACTGGACAGGCACTGACCAGGCTAGGCCAGCTGCAGCCCCACAAAGCCTTCACTGTCACTGCTGGGGACAAGATGACATCTCTTTGCTGTGGTGGCCAAGCTAGAAGGAGGTGAACCCCAGAGCCCTAAGGTGCAGAACTTGTCAGTTGCTTGAACCAATACATTTATCCCGAGCCACACTGAGTCACCGACAATCAAAGGTGTCAGTACATCACTACAGCCCCTTCTGGGAGGGGGCCCTGGGTGAGGACACACTTACCGCCTCCATAGTTGCCAAGGGCTTTTCCCCTGCTGAAACCCAGCATGCGGCAGAAAACGGTGGCGTCGGAGTTATCCCAGCCATCGTCGCAAATTGTTCCCCAGACCTCAGCATAGTATACCTCAGCCCGGCCTCTACTACTACTGCCAATAATCCTGACGGATGAGGAATATGAGCCTGGGTTAAAAAAACCAAAAAAGACAGGTGGGGAAAGTTCAGATGTGCCAGGGCCCATGTTAATGCTGGCTCTCCCTGTTCACCTTTGGAGGATTTATGGGGTCCCCCTGCTTGGCTGTCACCAGAGCCGGGAGGAAGGAACCCCATTTTTTGGCCCTGATACAACCTGGCATCCTGCCTGCATGTGCTTGGTGGTGCCACAAGGCCACAGGAGCAGGTGCCTCCGTGGCTGGTCTTGTCATTCCTCCAGACCACATTTTGTCACATGTGGCAGAGAGAAAAAATAGTTAAGAAAACGGAAGGAAGGAAAGAGTGGAGGGAGAAATGTAGGCAAGAAAAGATGGAGAGAAAGAGAGAAAACAGGAGGGATGCAGAGCGAGGAAATGAAAGAGGGGAGGGAGGAAGAAAGGAAAAGAGAAAGGGAGAGAAGGGGGGAGGAAGGTGTGCCACTACCATGTGCCTGCCTGGCAAGGTCAGGGTTCAAGAGAGGGGTCTGTCAGCTTTTCCCCAAAATGAAAAATATCTTTGAGAAGCTGTCTCCCTCCCAACATATATATAATTTTCTAATACTGAATTGACCCTAAAGCACAAATTAAAAGAATAGAAATGTCAATTACCTTTTTCACCTTTTTCTCCTTTTTCTCCTTTCTGCCCAGAAGATCCTGTTGTGAGGAGAAAACCCACACAATTTAAAGTGTCACCTTACCAGTGTCCCTCACCTTCCTTTGCTAGCAGTGGGCAGGAAGATGGAGGGCTGGTGAGGTCAGTGCCTCTTTTCCATCTTTGCCTGCAACCCAGCATCACAGGGACTGGATGTGCCATGGGCACCAATGGCTGACCAAGAAAAAATGGGCCCAAGCTCCAGCAGGGAGGGTGGAAGTTAGATTAGTGAGGGATGTTTGGTGAGAGACATGGCATGGGACAGAGGCATATCCTTTGTGGGACTATGTGGTCAGTCATGGGTGCTGGCCAGGAGCAAGAATGCATGAGGTTCATATGCACACTCACAGGCTGGCCGCTTGGAGGGCTGGGCCGTGCCTGGCTCACCGCTGTGTGCTCAGTGCCCAGGGCCATCCCAGGATGTAACTTTCCCGCTGAATGAACAGACCTGTACCTACCTGGGTTGTGCAACCTTTACCTTTCACTCCTGGGTCTCCCTTCGGGCCAACTACTCCAGGTGCTCCTCTGAGGCCTACCGGCCCGAGGGTTCCCTTTTCTCCCTTTGGTCCTGCAGATCCTACAAGAAGAGAGAGGACACTCCCATAGACATCCTTCTCTGCCGTCCCAAGGGGTTCCCAAGGGCCCTGCTGCTTATGAGTAATCCCTAACTCCCAGCTTCCCCATGCACGAGCTGTGTGCACTCTCAGCCTGTACCTCAGCTCCAGCAGGGGCTGTTCTGCCCCCTGACTCTCACACTGACACTGTTGAGAACATGCAAATGGGAATGGTGAACCATGTTCCAGAGATTGTTGGTCCTCAGCTGATTACATAATTGTGTGGAAGTTCGAGCCATTCTAGGAGACTTTGCTAGAACGTTTTTAGGCCTCTGTGTCTCCTTCAGTGAATTAAACAATAATAGAATATGTAGTTCATGAGAAAGAAAAATTGCTCCAGAAGTTTGTCTGAGAAGTTTTGCTTTGGTATGTGCTATGGTTTGGACATGGTGAAATGTCCCCCAAGGGTTCCTGTCCTCATTGTGGTGATAGTAAGAGGACATGGGACTTTTGGTGAGAGGAGTTGGCAGGAAATCCTTAGGCCAACTACTTTCTTCAGAAAGGATCATGGTACCCCAACTTCTTTGACTTCCTGTCCAGCAATGGGATCTCTTCCTCCTGCACATGACTCCACTGTGTTGACACTGTTTGCTATGAGGCCTTCTTTGAGGCTGAGCAGGAGCCACCACCATGCCCTTGAATCTCTAGGACTGTGAGCTTAACAAACCTCTTTCCTTTCATAATGATCCACCTCAGCCATTTCATTACAGTAATGAAAAACAACCCAATACAGCACTCATTAGGAACACGCTATTGAGAAGACTAGACATGCTGGGTAGTGGGTGCTGAACTCAGTAACCAACTATGAGCAAGGACTTTATAGATAAGGATAATAACAGTAATAATATACTAGTGAGAACCAGCAGAAGGAGAAGAGGAGGGTCTTGAGCAAACAAAAGGATGAGGAAAAACAGGCCAAAACTGAGAAACCCCCAACCCTGGATGGCAGATGGAGGTTGCCTAGCTCCATGGTGGCTCCACAGCCTGAAGCCACCACCTGCACCATCGGTTCTCCTGGCTTTCTTATCCCTTGCCAATCTCAGCCCTTGTCACACACTCTACAAAACATAGGACATCAAGTGCCTACTGTTTCCTTTGTTTTCCAGGGAAAAATAGAGGCTTGGACGACAGAGCCCTAGAATCTTAGCGTCAGCTTTCGGGGGAAGGTCACAGCTGTGTGTTCAAAGTCAAGTAGACTCCACTTCCAACTGCACAAACCTCTCCAGTCATCATTCTGGGAAATTAAAATGAAGCCAGCCCTTTACCTGGGACTCCTGATTCTCCTTTTGTTCCCTTCTGTCCTTGAATTCCTAAAATCAAAACAAAGAAAAGCGGAGAAGATAATAAAACTTAGATATTAGACACTTTTAATCTTAGACAACCTCTACCTTTTGTCTGATTAATGCAGATGGAAAGATACAATGGTTCTCCAAAATTGTTTAAAGCCTTTCCAGCAGAGCATAAAAGGAGACAGGCTGCAGATAAATGGAGATGGGTGTGTTGCGTTGAAATAGCAACCTGCTGGATGAAAGCCTAGGGTAGACAGACCCCAGTCCCACTCACTGGCCTTCCCTGTCCACCAGTAACCTGCTTTGGTGCCTAAATCCGATCCCATTTTTTACTGTTGCACTTTCTCAAGAGATACTTATTGAAGAAAATTGAGAAATATTTCAGAAATAAAGTATTTTGATTTCCAAAAGACTTTGGAGTGGACTTTGTGGTCAGGATCTTTGGAAGACCCACACCCACAACAGATGCTCCATAAATATTTACTGGTTTGTTCTTTGTGGCCCCAGTTGGCTAAATATTCATGTGGCTAAACGGTCTCAGGTTTAGAAAATGGAAAAATGATAACTACAATCATTGGTGATGATTCTATTTATAGTTACAGTGAGAGGTACTCCCTCATTTTATTCCTCCCTCCTTTTCTTCTTTACCTCCTTCTTGACACCCACTTATCTTTTATTCAGTTAATTTGCATGGAAGACCCCTTTTCCCTGCACCCTGCCAGGCCACTGTGGGATCCTAATTTGTACACTTAGCAACATCATGGTCTCAATTTTAAGGGTCAATATTGTTTCTACTTCAGAACAATAGGACAATTACACAAATTTGGGAAAATGCAAGTTCATTATTAATTCTTAAGTAGCAGTTACTAGAGGGTACCAATGGGTGGGTGCACCAGCCATTCACAAGCACCTGTGGTTATGGCTACACCCTTGGTGAGCTTCCCACTTGGGACACAAGCTCAGACCTGACCACAGATCCACCCTTCTGATGACCACCAGAAACCATGGGGAGCTCCATTATCCTCACCGCAGTGGCCTGGGGAAGTTCCTTCCTTCTGGCCCCTCTCACCTACTTCATTGCCTGAATTTTCTGAGCACCTACAGTGTGCTGGTCAGAGGAAGGCAAAGTGAAGGACCTGCCAGCCCTCTTGAGAATTCCAAATGACATCCCAGTGCCTGGTGCTGCCTGGGAGGAGCATCAGAAAGCCAAGAGAAGCCAGAAGTGCTGGGAGGGCAACTACCCTAGCCCTAGGAATGGGGACAGAACTGGTGCTAGGAAAGGTTCTTCCAAGAGTGGAAGGTGCCTTCAAGGCCAGCCTCTGGCCCCAGCTCAGCCCAAGCATTGGTGCACACCCTGGTCCATCAGATTTAAATGCTTCAGCCCTTAGGTTTACCCAGAGAACTCAGATTTAGCCTGTGAACCCTTCAAAGATGTCAGATGTTAACAGCTGTGAAGCCTCTGCTGGCTTCACTCCATCAATGACACACTTTCTCCACAGCATTACAGTAAAGTGGTTTCAGACTCACCACTTGAGTCAGTCTCTGCCTTGTCTTGCCCTTGTGACTTTGGGCCAGGTGTCCCTGCTTGGAGCCTCAGTCTCCCCATCTTCGTCTGTGCATTGCCTCCTGAGGCAGTCATAAGACTAAATGAAGTAGCAGATGTCAAAGGCTGGGGCCAAGGAGGACACTGTGAGTCATTTTCATGGGTGTCTCCCCTTGAGGTAAAGAATGTCTTGGGCACAGGGGCGGAGCCTCACCTGAGCACCAGGAAGTGTTTGCTGTTGACCTGAAGGGTCTTAGCAGTGGCCACCCTACAGAGATGGTAGATGGCTCTGCTTTCCCTACTTGCATCTGAACAGCAAATGTCAAGACTAGGAGAAAAGACCATGTTCAGAAATATGTATCTTGTGGTCATTAGATGGAAAAACAGTCCACATGTAGAACATCGACACTGTCTCAGTGCTAGAGGGTGCCACGTTACAGGAATCTCTACTTCAAGAACCTGTCCTGAGAAGCAAGGTTCAGGGACCCTAGAACACTAATCTCCCCTTACTGCCCCCATCAAAAGACATACACCTCTCTAGCTGTCCTCCAAAACTCTGTGTTATGGCTTTTATCTAGATCTCTCCCTAAAGCCTCAGGCATGCAAAGGCTCATAGATGGGGGTTTTTGGAGGTGGCTCGATCTAAGGTGTATGAATATGGAGTAAGAGTGTGTGATAACTAAATTACTCCACTGATTGGTTTAGTATAGTTCTGGGTGTGGATAAAAGGAAGGCCCACCTTGGGTGTGGGTGGCACCAACCAATAGGCTTGAAGTCTAGATGCAATACAAAAGGACAGAAAGAAGGCTGGCCCACTGCTTGCTGCCTACTGCCTGCTGTGCCATGGACTGATTCTTCTCTGTGATGTCCCTTTACCATGCCACCCTGCCTTGCAGCCTGCTGAATACGGACTTAAACCTCAAGCCAAAATAAATCTTTCCTTCTTTAACCTGCGGGTGTCATATTTTGTCCAAGAAACAAGAAAGTAACAAAGACACAGTATAAGACTAACACTCTCTATAAGACAGGAATAGCAGGGAAGCCCCAGCTCATGAGGCCCATGGCCCTATACCTGACTCTCCCCACCATGTTCCCTACACTCTCTCTTCCCAGCCCTTCCTCCAGAGCTCAGCATGTGCTACGGCTGCACTGTGCCAGGGACTTTACACACACTGCCTTCCTTCCATTTTTCAGCCACCCTGCAAGGCAATGTTATTTTCCTCCCTTACAGAGGAAGAAGTTGACACTCAGATGCCAAGTGATTTATTGAGGTCACACAAGAGTGAATGGTAAAGTTAAGGTGCTACCCAGGCTCATGTCCTACCTGTGCCTTGTGGCTGCCTTTGTTCTACCACATCCCAGCCTCACCCCTTCCTAGAGCTTCACTCAGGCTCCATTTGGTTCCAAGGCTCTTGAGCCATGCCTTTCCCCTAAGGGAGCTGAAGTCAAAGTAGAGTGTGCACCAGAATTAGACTTGTTTAAAAAGCAACTCATTAGGTCCACCCAGAGGTGTTGACTCTGTGGGGGATCTGAGAATCTGCATTTCTAACAAGTAATGCTGATGCTGCTGGTCCAGAGACCACATACAGTGCCCTGAACAAATCTCTCATTGTTCAGGGACCAGCTCACAGCCCGCCTCCTCCAAGCAGCTGCTCTGTCCCTGCAGGACACCCATACTGGAGCACTCCCTGAGCCATGTTCACCTGCAGGGGTTGGCCCTTGATGAAATGCCTTCTAAGATGTGTTTAGTGGATATCAGTTTTGTCTTCAAAACTCCCTCTTCAAAGGAGAAAATTAGCATCATGTTTTGTGTGATTTCTCTCTAAGCTTCACTAGACTCTAAGAGGGCCCTGGCTGAGTGGTTGCTCACTAAGGATCAAGGGACAGCAATCCTCACTCTCCGTCGAGGTAGCACCCTGACTGGATCAGCTAATACATGCAGGAGGGCAAAGTGGCTGGAAAACAGGATCTAGAAAACTGCATGTCCTAAAACTACACTGGGGAGAAATGGGTGCTAGGCTGTTCTTGACCATAAACAAACCAGTTTTCACAAACTTAGCAAGCTGAGAGGGCCCAAATGTTTATTTTCAAAGTTTTTTTAGAGAAATGATTTCCTTACCCAAGAAAACAGTTGGTAGTACATCTTTTCCTTTTGCGTAGTGCTCTGAGGGAGCTCTGATTAAGATCATAGACTGTTCCTGCTCTGAGGGGAAATGGCTGGAGTGTTGTCAAACTGGTAGGGGTCTGGATGCTCTTCCACACTACTCAGACACCACCTAAGGGGAAACTGAGCCCCACTGTGGTCAAGCTCAAGCTCTAGCCCATTGTCAGACATCTGGTCAGCAGCAAGTCAAGCTGAAGATTAGATTTCTTGATTTTGCGTTAAAGGTAGAAATTTCCATTACACTGGGAAATTGTCCTAAATACCATTCCAATTTATAGGCTAGATGAAGCCTAGTAAATTTAAGAATAATCTAATAACTAAAAAATCAAGCTATGTATCTTGTGTCAAGAAGTAATATATGGCTTATGCGGGACCTAAAATTGGGATGTGTATAGACTTCAACAAACTTGGAGGAAAATTAGGAAGAGTTTTAAGGTGAACTTTAAGTAATTTGGTAGGACTTAATTCTTGAACTAAGTACTTAGATATGAGGAGTGGAATTAACTAAGAAACTATATTCACATTGTAGGACTAATTGCTATTATACACTCTCTTTGTTACTCATCTTCAAACATCTCAAAATGCAGATGACAACAAGGATTTTGACTTATTTGCCCTTGGATTTTGCCTCAAGAGAAAAATAAAAGTGCAAAGGAAATTCCGATTGTTATGTTTCAGCCACTGAAATGAAGGATTTCTGATCAAGTTGGTGTTTTGAAGCTTAAATGTTTTGCTGCTTCTAATATCCTTCATGCAGTAGAAATGGTCAAAAGATAAATGCCACAATTCCAAGTTGAAGTGGAGTGCTTCCTTATTTCCAAATTTTACTTTTCAATGTAGCTAAGGGATGTAGAGCTAAAATTTGGTTATTCTTTTGCAATGTTTTGAAAGAGAAAAGGCTAAAAAATTGAGATTAGTGCATTAGATAAAAATCTGTTTCTGACAGGTGGATGAAATTCACTTTGGAGAAAGTTCTGCTGGGTATAATGCTTTGCTTAATAAGATGTGGAGTTTATTTTCCCAAAAGAAAAAAATAGAATCTCCTTTCTACTTCCCTTAAAAGATACAAACATATTCCACCTGAATCAGCTGGAGTGTTGCTAGTGACAGTCAACAAAGGTAGGAAGGGTTTGTGATTGAGCCAGGATTTACCTATCTACCCTAGAGATTTGGGACATGGACAGGGGAACTCCGATTTCTCTTGGGTTCTACTTTATATTGTTCTATACAACAAATTAGAACAACTCTGCATCATTCTATAAGACAGAAGAGAACAACTTTATGTCATTCTATATAAAATCTGCAAACACACAAATTTAGACTCAGACTTCAGGATTAACTCCTATACTTGATGTGTGCTAACTACAAGCCCGTGAACAAAGGATTTACCCTTTCTGAGCCTTTGTGTCCTTATCTGCAAAGTTGGTTGGGTAAAAATCAAGTGTGTGTATGGATGAACTAAGACCATGGGAGTAAAGTCCTGAGCACCGTGCCCAGCTCAGAGAAAAAGTTAATAATAAATGGATCTCTTGCTATTTATAACTAATGCTCACTAATGAAATCTTGCTGTCACCTAGGTCAAACCAATGAACTATAATTTCTGTTTTCACCCAAAGTGACTAGATATGTTCTTGAGAGATTAATGGTTTTATTTACAAAATGGGTAATACATTAGCTTGACAACCCGGCTGATATATCATGGACAATGACCGTAGCAGCTTTAGTTTGGGGAATACCAACATTCTGACATTGACAAGTGTACACTGTCTTCCATGATGGGGCGGTCTGGCTCCCACACACCCCTGCCCCACCTTCCCTTTAGAAGTCATCAAATCTAATCTTTCCAGAAATTCATGAGCCCAATAACTTCAGCATCATATACCAACCAGATTATGGCCCTGTGGAAATTCCCTCGGTAGGAATTTCACCAACTACTTGACAGGGCAAGCATCTGGACTTGGGTGAGAAATCTATCTCATTTTACAGAAATGTAAATTGCCATACATCCTAAACTAAAATGTAGTTCATCATGTTTACTTGGGCAGCAAGAATTATGGGGTAAACTCTAGAATATGACTGGTTGGTTCTTATCACCAGGGTTTGATGTAGAATCCCATAAAGGTGCTCAGTGGATACAGATAATATGGATGGTCTGTGCACTATGATGTCTATGCTAAAACTGGTGTGGGATCTTGGATGAGTGACTCAGAACAACTTCAGGGCCTGAATGCTTCATGTTTCTTCTTAAGAGTGAGAAAAGCTACCACTGCCTCTGTCTGATCCTTTCTGAACTGGGGTGGAGGGAGAAGGAATTACAAAAAAAAAAAAAAATGCCTGCAGAGCAAGGTCCTGAGACAGAGTGCAGTGGATAAGCTCCCAAGCTTTTGAGTCACCAAGGCTTAGATTCCAGCCTTGGCTGCATGTCTCACTGTCTCACTACCCTTTGACCTTGGACAACTTACTGTAAAACACCCCTAACCCAAGTGCTTATTCCCCTGGATTGTCACAAAAATGCTCATTAGCAGTCACTGCTCTTGCTACACCAGGAATCCTAGGGTGCAGGGTGAAGGGCAACATGCTGCACCCTCAGGCAGCAAGAGGCTCAGGTTTGGGGTCTGAGGAGTGGGCACAGGGCCTCTGTAAGTAAAATCATGTTTTACACCCAATGCTTCTGCTCAGTAAAGAACCGTGAATCCGGCAATGAGGGAGGAGGCAGAATGAAAGTTCTATTTATAACTGAGAAGGAAAGCAGTCATTTCCAGGAAGCCATATAGAAAACTCAGGGGCTGGATGCTTCAGACACAAGTCAGATGAACCTGAGATAGCAGACCAGAGAAGAAGTAGCATAAGATTGGAAGGAGTAGAGGACAGAGGAGGTTAAGCAGCTGCTCTCAACACAGCACCTGACAATGTTCAGGAAAATTCCAAAGTTCACAGCCCAGAACGCAAGGATCACCAGGAGGTAGTGATGAATGATTGAATGAATGAATGGTCAATCCATCCACCCATCCACTGCTTCATCAGCTAGAACTTTGAAAACTTTGAAGGTCCAGAAGGTCCAGGCCTGGTACAGGCCTGTAGCACAGCCGGGGGATGAGGGAGTCTACTTTGTCTGACAAAGCAGAGCACCTTAGTAGGGCAGCATATAGCCCAGATTAAACTGGCTGATTGTTTATAACCTAGACTACACCGACAGGACAGTGTATATACTAAGTTGGCACAATAGCTTCAAACTAGTCTCTATAAGTTCCATTAATGTAGGCCAGTGTTTTCTCTGCCTGCTCCCCAGGAGAATGTGTGAGAAGGAGTTTCTTGACACTCTTGCTGAACCCATAGTGCTGATCACCACCCCTAAGGGTCAGAAGCAGAGTGAAAACTACGCACACAACTGGGTGGCAGCCCGGGGCAAGGTGTCCATTGATGCTGGAGGTTTGGTGATGGAATTCAAGGTCCTCCAGGAACCCAGAGCAGAGATAGAATAGCCCAAAAGCCTTGGGCTCAGAGGGCCAGAGGTAACTGCCTTCTGTCATTAGGGAGCCTCTGGGACCAGAACACAGGAGACCTACACCTCCCTCCATGGGCTGCTAGGAGGCTGCCGCCTCCCTGTCCATTGTGACACAGCACCTCACATCTCACAACACATTACCTGTGTCACCCTTGCTTCCTTTCATGCCTTCGCGTCCTGGACTTCCAGGATTTCCTGGTGCCCCTAGAAGACAGTCACCAGAGAGGGCATCAGGGCTGGGCAGTGCCCAAACGTCACTCCCCAGGCCCACTGTGGGATATGGGGATCTTACCTGTTAACCCAACCGTGCCAGGGATGCCACGTTCACCCCTGGCTCCCAGAGGGCCCGCTGGCCCGGGAGGCCCTGGAACACCTGGCACTCCAGGTTGTCCTGGAAGTTAAGTGGTGATTGTGAGGCTGGTGGTTGTTGACAGAGGACCTGTCTGCCCCACCCCCTCGCCTCTTTCCTCAGCAGTGAGACATGCTTCTTAACACCTTCTCGTCCTGTGGCAGCTGCAAACTGTCTCTTTGGAAGCCGTAAGCTAGGCCTATTAGTGGGAGGATAATTAGCATCAGCAACTAGTCTTCCGTTTGCTGCTGCAGAGTTTGGGATTGTAGATGCATTAGGATTTCTGGGTATGGATGCCCAGGTGAGAAGGTCTACTAAGAGGACTATCAATCAAGCCTGCTCTTCATTGGCTACTCTGTTCCTCATAGGAAGGGCCAGGTTTTTAAGAAGCCCCAATAGTTCATCCTGGTTAATACTATGATGAAATAAAATATGGTGGCTTCAGGTCCCCAACTTGACTCTGCCCAGGGACTGTGAAGGTAGAATGAAGCCCAGTGTCTCCCAATTCCTACCTTGATTGCCTTTGGCTCCAGGAAATCCAGCCATACCTAAAATGAAGAAGAAGCATTTTTAGGAATTATTTTACCCTTTAACTCGGCCTCCCAGAGAAAAAGGGAAATACTGGCTGATCAGTGGCTCTGGCCTCATGGTCTCTTACCTGGTGGACCTGGCTTCCCTGAGTCACCTTTGTTCCCTTGGGGTCCAGGGGGCCCTGTGGCCCCCATGTCTCCCCTCATGCCCATGTCCCCTTTGCTCCCTGCAAAAAGAAGGAGTTGAAGTCAGTCACAGGAAGGGGGACAAACCCAGTCAGGGACTCCCACCCTGACACTTCTTGTCCCACCCACATTCGAAACTCAAAACTCTTTGAGGTCCTACTTGGAGACAGAAGTGAAATTAGTGATCGAATCTCTCAAGGATCCTCAGAGACAGGACGTAAATTCATGGAAAATGAGGTGACCGGGCACAGACGATGGTTGTCAGATGGCCCTGCAGCTGGGCTCCCCAGGACCCAGTCAGAACCCTGGTCCCCTCAGGAAGGACCAGAGTCCAGGCTCAATCAGCACTTTTCAGCTCTTTTTAGTGTGTGCACTCTGGGAATTTTTTTGAAGTCTGAATGATCTAGAAAGCAGGGCCCCAGTGCTGAGAATGGCAATTTGGGGGCATTGATGATAGAGAGACACATTTGTAGCAGCTCCTATTCCTGCCAGCAGTTCAGATACGGGCTTCCCTGGTACCCAGGATTTCAAATTTTCCACTTGTCATCAGCATTCAGGACTTGTCCAGCCTGTCCTCTCCTGAGTCCTCCGTCACTCCCTCCTCCTTTCCTGCCAGTGCCTGGTGCATATCAATTGAGGGCAGCTCCTCACAGAGCCAGGGCTCTTCCTCTCAGTGCCAAAGTGAAGTTTGATGAGGAATGGAGGACCCTCATGGGCCACATCATGCAAGGCTTGCTCAGCAACAGCTCACTGGGCAGCTGGTATTCAGTAAGTTGGTGATGGGTGTGAATGTCTCCTACTCCATACCCCTGGGGGCAAAGTGGGGGTGCAGGTCTAAAGAGGACTATCTCACCCCAAAGCAACCTTTAGTCTGTCAAATAGGCTAGTTGGGATGGAATTTTGTTAAAAGGTATTCTTGGCTCTAGCCTATTATTTTGTTAAGATGACACTGGCCACTCCGGCACAATGCCAAACTTCTGCCAGTGAATTCAAAACTGGGACACAAGGCTCCAAAGAGGAGAGGTAGCCTTTCTGAGCCTGAGCTTGGAGTAAAGTTAGTGCAAAGGTTGGGAGCTGGGCTTAAAGAATGACCATTCCCTTCTGGGAGACAAAGCTATCATAAAAGACTTGGTTTCATGGGTGCAGAACACTGCTAGAGAGGAGGAATGCGATCTGGTGTACCAACACACCGAAAGGTGATTAACTACAATGCCTCACGTGAGTCAAAATAGCTACAAGGGAGGATTTTGAGTGTTCTCATCCCAAAGAAATGCTAAATGTTGGAGATGATGGGGAAACTAAAGATCCTGAACAGATCATTACATAATGTATATGGGTACCAGTGTTTCACACTAGACTCCATAAACACACACAATCATCTGTCCATTAAAATTAATTAATTCAAAAAGGAACTTGGCTACAGTTGAAGTTGCTTATGACAGTAAAGTTGCAATAAGCAGAGAAGATAAGTATGGTCCTGTGGAGTGTCCGTTTGGGAAAGGGTGCAAGGCCTATTGATCTGGGCCAGGACCATCACGTCGTAGCGACTGTTCAGCCAGCTGTACACAATGTTTTCTGTATGGTCTGAGCCCGCATTTGTGTTGCTATAACTTCCATGTCCCCATTAAAGGGATAACTTTGAGAAGCAGGGCAGCATCACCCCAGCAAGAGGTCCAGACACTGGCTACAACTCAGGAAGAGCAGCTGTTTCTGACTCCCAGAATGTTCCAGTCTGGGTGGGAGGAGGAGTGGAAGGAGGAGGCTGTCTATCACCTGAGGCTTCATCATGGTGCTCATCTCACTGGGCTTACATAGTCCCGGAACCTGCAGGGGCCTGGGCAGGTGGTGAGAAACAAAATGTTGCTATCTTGGGAGAGGAGATGTCAGGAGGGTACTGCTGACTTGTAACCCTGCTTTCTGAGAACCGTAATGGCTGTGTTTCCCTTTGCTGGCCACCACCCATACAGCTTCCAGGCTTGAGCTGGGTGTGGACTCCACTGGAAACAGAACATGTCAGGCCCAGCCTGCAGTGCTGCTGGGGTCACCTCGACAAAGGCCGAGTGCCCTTTACCAAAGAGAGCTGCGCTGTGTCAGCCAGCTTTGGAGGATCCTCAGAAGTCACTGCCCATCCCTTGGCCTGCTGCAAGAGTCCCCCTAAGTCCCACCAGGGAGGGCTGCCTATTCAGACCGAGTCAGCCTGATCGTCATAGATCAGCCCCAGGTTCTAAGTCACTTTTGCTCCCTTGCCTCTGCACAGCTGGTCCTCACTTTTTGGCTGGTACCACTCAGAGCAGGTCTGTTTTCTCCCACAAGTGCTTTCCAAATATTTAAGAATGGCTGGCATGTCCCTGCTGAGGGCTTTCTACTTGAAGGCAAAAACCCTTGGTTTCTTATAAAGTAAAAAAATTCCTACCTGCCAGGTACAACATTGCACATCTCATATGTCTTATACTCCATTGTAGTTAACCCTCATTAAAAATCAGTGTTACTATCTTCCTTTGGTAAGTGAGTGACTTGAGGCTCAGTGACATTCAGTCACTTCTCCAAGGTTACCCAGCTAGTGAGCTGTATCAGAATACAGGTCTGTCTCACCTTGGAACCAAAGTCCTTCCCTTTCTACTGTGTTGGATAACTATCAACACTACTAATAAATGTTATCATTTATGTAGGGCCCACCATGTGGCCAACAGTTTGAAATCAGAATCCCTAACCATTACAACTGTTCTGCAAAGCACGTATAATTTAATTGTTATTATTTTAATTAAATTACCCTTCTGTCTGAAGTGAGGAAATTGAAATTCAGAAAGGTTAAGGAATGTGCCCAGTCACACAGGTGAGCAGGTGCAGAGCAGGATGGAAACCAAGCCTTCCTGGCTCCCCTCATGGCATCCAGAGCCTCCTCCATGAGGCAGCAAGAAGCAGATGAGGTGCATGAAGGTGCTCAGTCAAGTTATGAGCCTTAGGGCAATGTTTTTGGCTGTGGTGCCAGACCTTCAAGGTCAGAATCATGAGGATGCTTCTTACGCATGGCCCATAACCTGGAGTCACCCTCCATCAGTGGGGGACTCTAGTGGCCTTCTGGCAAACTCTTTGCCCTCACTGCCAGCCTGTCCTTCTCCTAACTCCACCCCTGAGGCTCCTAACCTTCCTCTCTGACCTCTTAGCATGGCCTGTGCCTTCACTAGTCAAAGGAATGGCATTGTCCTCCCTCTCACACTGCATCCCTGTCCTTGCTTCACCTGGAGAGAAGAGGTCACACATAGTGCCCGGGGTGCCTACAGCACTGAGCAAATGTGATGGCTAAGAATGTCGGACCCAGCTCCCTCCAATCTCCCGGTGAGCACTGCCATCCCAACACAGCCCTTACCTGGGTGGCCCAGGTCCCCTTTATCTCCTTTGGCACCAGCTTCCCCTTTGGGGCCAATGGGACCTCCATCACCTTTGCTGCCTTTCTCCCCTTGGGGTCCTGGTGTGCCTGTGAAGAGAAGAGCCAGTGAGGGCTCCCACTGTCTCCAGGATGGAGCGCTGGGGAAAGGAAGTAGGGTCTAGAGGGAGAGGAAAGTGTCCCCAGTGGGGACAGGTTGGCTCATGTCTTGGGTGGTCTTGCTGAGTACACTAGGACTCGAGAGAAGAGGACTGTGGGGAAGTTGTTACCCTCAGGGGCTGGGTTGGGGCTGTGCAGAGAGGACATTAAGTGCAGCTGCTCCAAGGCCTCACACTGGGCAACCCTGACACCAGGAGGGGAAGCCCAAGTTACCAGCAGCTCCTTGCTCTCCTGGCATGCCCTTGGGTCCTTGGAGGCCTGTGGAGAAGGAAGGAAGGAAGAGCTCAATTGCTGTGGTCTGGGCTCTTCAGTTAGCTGACATTCTGGAGCCCCTGAGGTGGACAAGCACCTGGGAATGTGTCTCACATAGCAATGGAAGAAAAGCTTTAGAGTAAAGTGAGTCGATTGGAATCATAACTCTGCCATCTGGCAGGCTGGATGATTCTGGAAATGTCACTTAAGTATTCCATGCCTCTGTATTCTTGCCTGTAAATGGGGCGGGTCCTAACTGGGTTCTCAGTGCTCCAAAGCCGAGGTCAAAAAGGGATCTTAGAGGTGGTGGTTCCATCCCACAAAGCCTAGGGATCCTAGGCTAGCATGGGGATATGGGAGGTTTCTCTAGCCTTTCCTGGGGGAGCCAGTGGTGCCCCAAGGTGGAAGCAGATGGGCTCTGGGTTCACACTGCCCACAGTACTGCTGTAGCTCCTTCTTCAGTGTGTTTCAAGTACTTGGGCTCCATGCAGGACTGGGGCTGAATAAAGTGTCCAGTCAGTGGTCAGTATGCTGAAGAGGAGCTGGACACTAGGCACTATTCCTCCTGGAAGCATATCACTGAGTCCTTGGGCTCTGGCTCTTCCTTTCAAACCAGCTTCCCTGGATGCTGTCTGGGAGCTCCAGAAACCCAACCCAAGCCCCTTTCTCTCCAGGAGGAAAGAGGAGGGAGGATGACCCACTCCTCTCAGAGTGAGCCTGACTGCTCCAAGCTTCCACAGGGTGAGTGTGAGAGCATTTGTGCACAGGTTGTGTGAGTGTATGGTATGTGTGTGTGAGTATGTATGTGTACAACTATGATTCTTCATGTGTGCTTGAGAATTTGAGTATGTGCATAAATGTGCACAAATATGCACATGTTTGAGTGAGTGGATATGAACATATGGGTATGAAAGTGTGTATGGTGTGTGCATGTGAGAATGAGATTATATGTGTAATATGTGGTTGCAAATGAGTGTGTATGAATGTATGTGAACACATGGGTGTGTGTGAAAGGTCTGAGTGTGTTGTGTGTGTCCCTCACTGCACTGTAAACTTTCCTTCCTATTGTTCCTTCCTAGGGACTTAGAACAATAGGTTTTTTGGGATTCCATCTATTAAATTTCTTCCAAAAGTCAGCTTCTTGAAGATTTCCCTGCTAACAAGTTGCCTTTCTGTGACTGCTGCTATTTTCTTTCTGCCTCCGCAACCTGGAGGCTTAGAGCTTGTTGGCTTGTTTACTTCCCCTTCCTTACAAATCCTCTGGCTCTGCTCTCTCCTAGAGAAGCTCTTATTGTCTTTGCATCTTTACAGTACAGCAGCCTCAGCCCTGGGGTATTCAGAACTGGAAGGTGGAAGTGGAGAGCAGAGTGGACTGTAACAGTCACTGCTCCGGTCAGGGTCTGTCCTCTGGGGAGGGACAGCTGAGTCTCGCCCTCCCTTTCTCACCAGACCACTGATAAGACCCTGGGTAGGTCTAAGCTACAAGCTGAAAAATGGAGCCTCATACTTTCCTGGCAAGATCATGGGCTTAAAGTCATTATCTGGAGCCCCAGTGCCGAGGCTGAGGGGACACCCAGTGGCACAGAGGCACAGGTGCCAGGCTCTCAAGCCCCTGCTGGGCCGAGGAGCCTGACTCTGCTCACAGTGCTCACGGTTCCAACTCCCCCTCCCAGAGGCCCAGGTGGGAGTGTCACAGTCCTCCAGCCCACCCAGGCCGGTCCCATTAGTCAGTGCCCCTAAGGGCAGCAGCCCTGCCCTCCTGCCTGTGGATTGCTTCCTCCTACCTCTCAATCCATCCCATGTCTCAGGGCAGCCACCAACCTCCCAGACCCTGGGGAGCTTAAACTGCAGCCTGGTCCATGCCCACAGCCAGGGCCCCATGCTGAGAAAACCAGCTGCGAATTCCTTTCTACTCACCCGGGTTTCCCTTCATGCCTGCTGGGCCTTGGGGTCCCAGGAGACCTGGAAGGGAAAGGGAACTCAGAGCATGCCCCGGACAAAGCAGGGGAAAGATTACAGAGCCAGGAGACAGAGGCCATACCTGGGCTTCCATCCAGTCCCATGGCCCCCTTGGCTCCCTTCTCACCAGGGTGTCCAGGCACACCTGGGGCCCCTTTTGGACCTGGAAAACATGAAGAGGAGGATCAAAGACACAAATGAGCCAGCCAGCCAGGGGCAGGGGTGACAATGCTACTCACTCAATAATTCACTCAACAAACTCTCACTGAGCATCATGGGCAAGCTAAACTGTGTGACAGGAAAAGCAGAAGACAAGACAAAAATCCTTCCTATAAGACATTCATGGCCAGGGTTGGGGAGGTAGCTCAGAGGTAGAGTGCTTGCCTAGCTTGTGTGAGACTCTGGGTTTAATCCTTACCACCATAAAAGAAGAAAAGGAGAAGTGAGTGTGGGGAAGTAGTTCATGGCCTAGAAGGAAAAAACAAACAAACAAACAGCATAGATGTTGTCTTAGAGAGGCTGAGTCAAACAGACCTGGGTTCAAGGACTGGCACTGGCATTTAGCTGGAAGGCCTTATGCAAGTTACTTCATCTTTCTGAGCTTCAGCTTCCTGGCCAGTAAAATTGGGTTACTGTGCTTGTTAACCAAGGCTGTCCTGAGGTGAACATGTGGAGATCTTTCATGTGAAACTCACACGGCGAGGTCTGGTGAACAGGGCCAATTATTTCTGCAAGGCACTCAGTTCTCTGCCATTTCCAAGGACTGGTTTCTAGGCAGGGCTCAAGTTTCATGACAACCCAAGTGGGCAGCACAGGCCTTCGTGTTCCCAAATCACCAGGGAGGGGACTGACATGCTGGGACTTGGCTGAGGCCACATGTTGGGGGAGAGGCTGGCAGGTTCCAGGTCTCCCAGTGGTAAAGCCTTCACCCCCGGAAGCCACTGGGTGAGGGAGCCTGTGATGAGCTTTCTAGCTCAGCATTCGGAAGACCCAGAATGTTGTAGCATGTTGTGGGGCCCAGAGGATGGAAGCAGAATCGAGGGCTAGAACCCTCATTGAACATGATGTCCTTTTCTGCTTGTCTCAGGAGAGAGAATCCATCAAGGATCTACCAGTTTGCCTCCTATGGAGGGGCCACACTTGGCCCAGCCCAGGCTGACTTATCTGTGACATCTTAGTAACAGAGTTCTGGGGAGGACCTAAGGTGGTGGGACACAGGAAACCCACTGAGAGAGAGCTCTCTGTGCTCCTTAGCCAAAAGGCAGAGGCCAGAGCTTCGGAGATATCATGGCAGAGGGGACAATGAACCCTGTAGAACCGACCCTCCTCCTAGAACATCAGAGTTGGCGTCTTCTGGTCCTGGTACTTCTGGGGAAAAGAACCCACTTTCTGACAGGCTGGGCCCAGGCCCCTCCTAGGGGTTTCCCAGGGTGAACTGTTAGGACCCTGTCCCCATCAGCATGGCCCTCTTGGGCAGTGTGGGGTGTCCCTGCTCCACCATGGTGGCCTGGCCCTCGACTCAGGAGTCCAACTTAGCTCCTCCAAATCTTCCTGCATCATCTTGAGCAAGTCCATGTACTCTGAGCCTCAGTTTCCTTGACTATGAAATGGGGATAATACCAATAGCTACTTTTAGTTAGTGTGAAGAGTCAGCAAGGCACAAAAGAAAAGTGTCTTGTGCTTTTTTACAGAGGCACACACCCACCCACCTCACCCTACTCTGAGCCTGCCTGGCACCTGGCCAGGGTCCCTCCTCTGCTCTCATGTTCTTGGACTCCTCCTTCCTTTTCTGTGTTCCTGACTTACCAAGCTCCCTGCCCCACCTCAGGGCCTATGTACAGGTGACTCTCTGGGACATTTTTCCTGGCAATCTTCTCTGGCCTGGGGGGTTGAGGATCCCTCTGCACTTCCTCACACAAGGATCTACACCATCTTGCAACGCACTCTGCCCCACCATGCCTTGCTCCTCCCTAAAGGGGAAGGTCAGAGACGCCAGGGTCTTATCTACTTCCTATCTGGATTCCCAGTGCCTATGACAGTGCCTCCTCCTTATAGAGATTTCAACAAACATTGGTTGGAAGGAGGGGAAGAAGTCCAGGACTGACAAAGGAAGGAAAAGAGAGACAGGTGGGTCCCACAATCCCCTCCTAGAACCTTGGCTGGGGTGCCATTTCCCCCACTGTGTCCAGGAAGCCTGGTCTGAGGGCTGAGCTGGTAGATGCTGGTGTGGCTGTGCATGACAAGAAACTTGTGAGCCCCACACCCTCTCCCTCAGCCTCCTGTGCTTCTCCAGTGAGTCTGATTACAAAATGAGCCTTTGGGGAGTGCTGACCAGGCAAGACAAGGCAAGCCCTGGGGAAGGGACAGAGGCCACACCCTACTGATGCTTGGGGGTGAGTGGGGAGGATGGGAAGGTAGATGGTGCCCCAGCTCCTGGAAATGCTCTTTCCTGTCTCTGCTCTTTGGGGACCAGAAAAGAGACAGGAAGAAAAGAGGGAGAGGGAGAGGGAGAGGGAGACAGAAGTCATAGATGGAGAGACAGAGACTAGGAGATATGGGGAGATAGTTGGAGATCCTGTACAGTAGACCCTTGGCATTTGTAAGTTCTACATTCTCAGATTTAACCAATTATGGATTGAAAATATTTGGGGGAAAATTGCCTCTGTGGTGTACATGTACAGACTTTTTTCTTTGTCATTATTTCCTAAACAATACATTAACTATTTACATAACATTTATATTGTATTTGGTATTTCAAGTCATCTGAAATGCTTTAAAATACACAGCAGGATGTGCATAGGTCATATTCAATATGACACCATTTATATAAGGGACGTGAACCTCTGGTGATTTGGGTATCTATGGGGGCCCTGGAGCCAAACCCCAAGGATACAGATGGGCAATTATACATCCATGCTGAGAGAGACAGATCAGACAGTGAGACCAGAAGTCTGGGTGGGCTCCCCATCTGGATCTGGAGCTCTGAGCCTAGTGGTGATGGTAGTGGTGGGGGTGATGGGGCAGATTTTTAAGATCAGACCAACCCCACTGGGGTGAGAAAAGGTAACACTGATGTCATCAGCTGAAGTGACAGAGGTTGTCAGAAAAGCCGTTCCTGACAGGAGAGGAGCCAACAGTATTCATCAGGTTGGGGGCTATTCAAAATTCTTTTCATCTTTCTAATAGAAGAATAACAGTAATAGCCAGTAACAATAATAATAGCACTACAGAATGCTGACTCTATGCCTGGCACTGGACCGGCCTTTTACAGAAACTGCTCTATCCTGCCCTCACCCAACCATGATCCCCTTCTTGCAGGGGAGGACAGGAATGTTAAATGACTGGCTCGATATCACCAATCTTGTGAGGGGCAGAGCCGGGCTTGTCCCCAGGTCTGATCAGGGCTACCTCACAACTCTCCCTGGCCAGAGGGGAGGTGGGGCATGCCTAAGAAGTCATAGCACCAAGGACTCTGTCCCAAGAACATCAAGAATATTTGTTCTCAGGATAAATTTCAACTCCCCAGATGCTGGAATGGAACAGGGACGTAAGGGAGGTGTGTGTGCACCAGTGTGTGCAACACAGCACACATGTGGGCTGAGAAGGGGAAAGAAGGCAAATGAGCCACTGGCTCTATCTTAAAGAACACAGGCTGCTGTCAGACATCTTTTGTACATCACCCTCTAAGTCTTACAGCACCCTTATGAGGTGAGCCCTGTGATCACCATTACTTTCCACACCAGTGAGAGGCTGAGGGTCCCGAAAAGTTCTGTCTCAAGCAGGGCTACAAGGAGACAGGACCAGTGGCGATGGAAGTGAGCGCACCACCCCAGTGATGGCCTTAAGGGCAGGTGAAAGTGCTTATGGGAGAGAAGGGGAGAGGCTCCTGAAAGCTAAGATGCTGGAGAGAGTTAGCAGAGCGGATGGGTATGGACTGGCCTGGGAAGATGGTGAGGTTTGGATGGGAGTAGTAAGAGGGGAAGGGATTTCAAGCAAGGAGGGGGCAGAGGCCAGGAGCTGATCAAGGAGCAGAGAGATGATGCAATCAAGGGGAACCCCTGAAAGGTAAGGTGAGGTCAAATGGGGCATGACCCAGATCAATGCAGGCCAAGGATCCTTTGGGGAAAGATTTTGGGAGGTGACCATGGACCTACCTGGGGCACCTCGTTCACCTTTGATCCTGTGCAACTCTGCAAGGGAAGGAGAGAGGGTTTCAGACTGAAGTGTGGGGCCCTCTCAGCTTAGTCCATACACTTCTTCGGGGGAACCAGGGCCTACATTGGAAAGCTGTCCCCTCACACTGTGTGGGGAGCAGAAGCTTCAGCCAGGTTAGGGAGAGAGGTTTGAAGGACAGGATTCAAACTCCTGGGTGTGTTCAGAAGAAAGGCCCTGGAAAGCACCTGCTGTTTAACTCAGGAGCTGCAGATGCCTGGGAGCCACAGGAGTGGGGAAGGGGGCTGGACTGCCTTCCTGCACCAGGCTCTGCCCAGTGCAGCTTGCAGAGGCTCCTGGGACTGAGGAAGCACCTTCTTGAGTTGGCCAAAACAGCTCCTTCACATTTCAGGGGAGGGAGAGACACCCTTGCCCTGTCCATCTGCCCAAAGCTGCAGCCTCTCTTCACAGCCCAACTGACTGTCTTGCTCCGGGGGAGGCCAGAGCCCCTGGAGGGATTTGTCCTCCTGGACTTGTGTCTCATGGGATCACCCTCCTATGCCCCAGCTTTCTGGGACACTGGGGCCAGAGCAAGGAGCTCTGCCGGGAATGAGGTTCCATGTCACAGTGTGACAGTGGAGTTGCCACTTAGGAGCTGGGTTTGCCCAAACTGGCTGAGAATGAAGTGCTTCCCATTCTGGGGGAGTCTGAGAGAAGAGAGGGTGCAGCTTTAAGGCCCTGAGAGCTGGGGCACAGGGCTTGGCATTTCCACCTCTGGCTCCTTTTCCTCCTTCCCAACGGCCACTGTACCATTCAAGTCCTGATGTTTCCCTTGGCTGCAGTCTCTGAGCCCTCCACTGTTTCCTCCCCACCTTCAGGCCACTGTGAGCCAGCTACAGGGAGCAGTCCCGGGAACTCACCCAGGCTCTGCACTCTTACCCTCCTAGGCGCTCAGGATCTGTCTGGGTCTCTGTGACCCAGACCTGACCTTGGACTGGGCTTTCAGAGGCCACATTTTGTTTGGATGGGGCCTTTGTTCCCCTGGTTCTGCACCCCACTGTTCCTGGAGACCTAACTATGCCCCACTCTGCAGTCTGTGTCCTGCGGCATCAGCCTCCTAATTTCATACCCACCTCACATGACTCACCCGCTGCCTTGTTCCCAGAGTCACAGACCAGGCCAGGGTCCTGGAAGCCCCTCTTGCCAAGGAAAGAGATTCATGAAAACAAACATCTCTGAGAAATCCCAGCCTGGAGAGGAGGAGGCCAAACCTGCATTCCGAGTGAAGTTGTCCACCTGGTGGAACAGACGTTCCTGGCTGACTCGGACTTTAGAGAGCTGGGTCTGTAGGTCTCTCAGCTCCATTGCCGACCGCAGCAAGGAGAAGGATGGGTTGTCCTCAGCAGCAAGCGTCCCATTGGGGAAGTAGTCACGTGCCTCCATGGTCTGGAGCTGCTCCTGCAGTTTCAAGACTGGACCACACACACACAGCATTTCTTTAGGGACCTCATTGCAAGGCTGGAGCTGATCCCTGGCATTCTTTTGTCACATGTACGTGATTTCTGCAGGCCCTGAATTCATAAACACAAACTCCATGTGCTGGTGGGACCAGGTGTGAGCACAGAGTTTGTTCTACACTTGACCGTGTATCTTCTTCCATACCCACTTCATGTCCCTGGAGCATTCCTTAAAGCTGTGCTCATGGAATCCACCCTCAATCTTCCAACCTCATGCTTCCCTGTATGCTCTGGGTGTGAATTAGTGACAACCGCCATGCTGGTCTGACCTGGAGATGTTCGAGCAACATTCAAGTGTGACCTTCAAATATCCTGACAAGTGTTGATGACAACTGTGTGCAGAACTTGCTTAGGTGACATCAGTATCTGCTGGTGAAACTGACTCATGGCTCTGACATTTGGACTGGAAATACTTTGGAAGTAAAATCTTGTTCAGATGAACAGTTAAGTGGCAAAGCCCTTTCCCACTCGTGGCTGGGAATCATTTGTGTCAGATGCTTGTGGCAAACCCCATGTGAAATCATGGCATCTTCAGTGCTTTACACACACATGTTCCAAAGTGCATCCCCTCCAACACAGACTACTTTCCCGCCCCCCCATCACCATGGTGACCTAGGGGGTGAGCACTGTCTTCCAGCAGGTGGGCACTTTAGCTCCCAGAACTGTCCAGTCAGCCCGAGTCCCTGCATCAGAGGGGTCCAGTTCAGAACCACACAGAACCAAGACTGCTTTACCTTGGAACTCTAGCAGCACAGCACCTGCTGTGAGCAGAATCAGGTAGATGATCACTACAGCCACGATGCAGTTCACCCAATTTTTCTTCCTGGGCTTCAAATCTGAAACACAAGCCCAGCAGCAGAAGGTGGTAGCTACAGAAGGCACAAAGCGGGGTCCCAGTCTTTGCCTGGCCACATCAGTGCCAACAGAGGTCTCCCTTGGAAGTTACATGGGAAGGACACCAAAGGCCCACAACCCCTAAAGCTTGCCCCCATCCTTTTTGCCACAAGGGAGAAATGCCATGGCTCAGTGTGGCAGAGCAATCAAACCTTTGTTCCATGTGTCACCAGCTGGAAGTGTTAAGTGGACCTCCTTTGCTATTGATGCCCCAGTGTGATGCCTGGTCCATAACTGGGTTCTTGGCTGATGTTTATGGAACAAAATATTGAATTTATGTGTTTGAATTTCCAAAGTCTTGGAGGGGCAGGATCATTCTCATTTTATAAACAATGAGCAAAGAGACTTGAATAACTTGTTAGGTTGTAGGATGCAGATCTGGAATTCATGTTCACGTCTTTCTTTTTCTTTCAATTTTTAAATTATGAAAGCAAAGCATGGCTGATATAGGCTATTAAATAATAGAGTTAGCATGACAAGGGTCAATGACCTGCCCTTAACTCCCTGAAGTCCTAACTTACTGAGGTAGGCTTTATTAGCATTCTGAGTGTGTGCTTCCTCCCATCCCTCCTGTTCACACAATCCCACAGGCCTCACACAGTTATCCTTTGCTGTGCACAGGGAATTGTTACTACAAGGATACCAAAATCCAGAGATGCTCAAATATTTTATATAAAATGAAGTAGTATTTGTATAGAACTTACACACTTCTTTCCGTACACTTTAAATCATCTCTAGATCACTCATAATACCTAATACAATCCAAATGCTATGTAAATAGTTGTCATACTATATGGTTTAGGAAATACTGACAAGAAGTCTGTATGTGTTCAGTTCAGTCTTTTTTCCTAGTATTTTTTTTCCATTTAGTTTATTGGTACATTTTAGGTATACAATACAGTTACATTCATCATTGGGATTTTGTACCTTTGCATGATGTATCTTGGTTCTTATTTTTTTCCCCATTTCCCTGCCCTCCCTTCACCCCCTCCACCCTTCCCTATTTACAAAGACTTTGTTTCCATGTTTTTCCTTTTCTCTATTTTTTCTTTTCCTTTCTTTCCTTTCCCTTAATCCTCCCACTTCCCCTACTCCTTTAGACATTTTCATCCTATTTCACAATATCAATTATACATTTTGATTCTTATTTACACTTTTAGTTTTTCACACCAGAGAAACTATTCAGTATTTACACATGTGTGTCCTATTTATTTCACTTAAGAGTATGGCCTCAATGTGCATCCACTTAGCTACAAATGTCTCAAGTTTCTCATTCTTTATGGCTGAGTAGTACTCCATTTTATTAAAAAACCACATCTTCTTTATCCAGTCTCCAGTTGATGGGCAATTTTCCTAGTATTTTTGATCCTCGGTTGAATTTACATGTGGAATGCACTCAGATACAGAGATCCAACTATAGGACAGACATTTTTTCCTTTTAATCTTACACAAATGATATCATGGTACATATATTACACACACTGCTCTTTACAATGAATGATTTTCATGGACATGGCTCTAGTTTCCCAAGAAGAAAGACATTAAATGATTCTTTTTAACAGGTGCCTAACAGTTCTGAGGGGCAAAAGCAGAAGTTCTTGCAGATACTTCTCTCTCTCTCTTTTTTTTATTTTTTGGTACTGGGGATTGAACTCAAGACCTCCTGAGCTAAATCCCCGGCCCCCAGATACTTCTCTTTTAATAAACAGTTTACAGTTTGGGACATTACAAAAGAAGCTGTAATAAAACTTTTCAGGGGCTCCTGACTCCAGGCTTATGTCTACTGTCACACTTTGGAGATCAAGGGGCAGGACCTGGCCTACACAAGCCCCTGCAGTTCCCACCACTCATATTAATTGGGCATGCACTCCACTCCATGCTGAGTACTTACCATCATCATCTTGGACCCTCATAGTCACCCTTCAAGGGGGTGTGCAAATTCCCTACTATACAGGAGAGCTGGAGCTCCAGGGGGAGCTAATGGGGTTCATGGGCACATGACCCCACTTCTCTCTAACCCCAAATTCTGAGCTCACCCCACTAGCCTACACCAACTACTGTCCCTAGGAGGAGTCCAGTTGGAATGTGTCTGAGGACATCTCTGAAGGGAAAGGAGATCACAAGTGGGCAAACTAGGGAAGGAAAGTGTGAGGGAAGTGAGTCTCATATTCCCTTTGTGACGGGTGAAGGTGACTATTCTAATAGATGTCCATGAAGTTGAGGACTTTTCTCCAACACTTGTGGAACTTGGGTCACTCTGCTGATATTTCTCCCTATCACCTACATAACAGCCCACCTGATGCATGGTGGGCTCAGGATATCTCTGGCTGTGCCAAGAGGAGTGGTTTTATTGGTGTGTTGGTTTGGTTGGTTTCATTCCTGGAAGCAAGCATCACCTTGATCCGAAAAGCAGAGAAAGACCCAACCGAAAAAGAAAACTATAGGCCAATTTCACTAATGAACATCGAAGCAAAAATCCTTAATAAGATACTGGCAAATACAATGCAGAAGATCATCAAGAAGATCATACACCCTGATCAAGTGGGATTCATCCCAGGGATGTAGGGATGGTTCAACATATGCAAATTGATCAATGTAATACAGTAGATCAATAGAGCCAAGGACAAAAACCATATGATCATCTCCATAGATACAGAAAAAGCATTTGACAAAATCCAACATACATTTATGATAAAAACCCTACAAAAAGTGGAATAGATGGTCTCTACCTCAAACTGATA